AGAAGAAGAGAGAGAGAGATCAAGGCAATGGGAGGATGGAAAACCTCCTCCCTCTCATAAAACCCTATACACCAATGGCTCAGGACCATATATTTTCCACTTTCACAATTCAAGACTTAAGTTATCTTTAAATATATCGGAGATGATACACGCCAGTCCTCCTAGAATTCAATGGGAATACCCAGCCTACCTCCCACCTCCACCACCTCTGAACTTGCCTCCTCCAGGAAGCTGATAAGGAAGTCCCGCACAGCACTGTTAGATGTGAAAAAGCCATTGATGGCTTTCTGGAGCACGTTGGGGTTGAGGCGACGGGAAGTAGAGGGCAAAGCTCTGAGGGCACGCAGGACATAGCGTGGCTCCTTCCCTGATACAGCTTTCTCAAGTTGCTTCACATGTTCTTTGATGTCTGCAATGGACAATAAAGAAAGGTAGCTCAACAAAGATAGTATAGTGTGGCAGGAAATGGCCACCACTGATTGGAGCAACTTAATATTCATACAGCAAAAACTTACACAAAGTCATCAAAATATAACAAAGTCCTACTGTTTTATCATGTATATTTTGGATTCTAAGCAATAATTCTGAAGCTATTTTAATAATTCTGCTGGCTGGAGAATTCTGGGACTTGGAGTCCAAACATCTTAAAGTTGCTGAGATTGAGAAATACTGCTCTAAAGCCTTCACACTGGCATTTCAATTAATCTACTGCTACAGCTAAATTGAAGACTTTACCTCTGTTGCTGGATGAGAAATAATAAAATACAAGTGGGCAAATGCCAACATTATTTTGAAGTGTGGGAGTCCATCAAGCTACCTGTGGATGGCAGAAACTGAATGCTGGCACTGCTGCAGATTAATCTGATAATGAAACATATTTTCAGGGACTGGAACTCAGTTGTGGAATGCCCTTCCAGAGAGATTTACCTAGTGCTCATGTTGTGGTATTCTGGCATCAAATGGAAATATTTTCCATTTTTACAAGGTTTCAATCATTAATATTTTTTTAAAAAATAGAAGACAATTGCTTGAGCTTCTTGCATTTTTTAATCACTTTTGTCTTATTTTGGTTCCATTCTATATCTATTTCAATTTTTTAAGATTCCACTTTGTGAACCATGCACTGAGCTTTACTATTCCAGTAAAAAAATCACTTCCATAAAAATATACCGTTACAAAACTGGCCAATAACAAAGTTTCCATCACCTACTACACCTTTTAAATAAAAATCCCTTGAAAATACTCCAAAGCTGGGCTCTGGCAGGTTATTTTAGACCAGTGTTTTTCAACCTCAGCAACTTGAAGATGTTGTGAACCTCAACTCCCAGAATTCCCACACTGGCTGGGGAATTCTGGGAGTTGAAGTCCACAAATCTTCATGTTGCTGAGGTTGAAAAACACTAACTTAGAGAATAAATTATGCTGTTACACTATGGAATCCAAACCTGTTCCTTTGACAACACAAACTTATAAGAAGTCAAAATTTTGAGCAAGATATCTACCAACTGGACTATATTTTTTATGTACTTCCTCTGTGAAGCTCACAACGTTTCATCATATTTACACAAATGAAAGCCATGTAACAAACAGTGTGTGGATTTTTACAGGCCAGATCTGGTAGCTCCAGAAAAACCCAGTGTCAGCAGCATTCAAATCAAGGCAGTAAGTCTCTCTGTGGCTTACAGGGGCTAAAAGCAATAATGCATCCTGTGTGAGCCCAAGCAATTATAGTGTATTAAACAAACCATGGTTGAGCAATTATGGTTTAACGCTACTGGTGCATCACATCCTTCCTAGACAGGTACCCTTCTCCAAGCGCTTCCGTATGTTAAAGGACTTCTGCAATTTACTTTCTCTTTTTTCAAGAAACAACCCTTAACCCCACTTTCCAGACCGCAGCTCCGCCCCCAGAGCCGAATCCCCCAAAATCGACCAATCGGAGCCCCTGGGAATTTCGATGGGCCCCCCACGCCACGCCCTAACCACAAAGGGAACGGGGGACATTCTAGGCCCCGCCTCTTTCCACTTCTCGGGCCGCTCCCGCTCCACCTCCGCTTTCACTCGCGGATGATGCTACTCCCCCCCCCCCCCCCTTCGAGCGTGACGGCGTCGAGCTCGCGCTGCGATTTTTCCGCCGAAGCAGGTTCGGCCGGAGTCGCCTCCTCCTGCATCTCCACATCGGCGGCCAGAGGGGGCGGCTGAGAGGGCTCGGCGGGAGGCAGCTTGGCCTTTTCGGATCCGGCGCGGCGTCGCGACCCGCCTTCCTGCTTCATGGCTCCGTCCTCCCCCCACCCGGCCCCGCCCGGGGAGGAA